AAAAATAGTTATATAGAGTTAAAGTAATCCAAATCAAAATATCAAAAACATTTGTTACAAAAGTGAAGAAAGCAATCCTGAAGTGCATATGGAACCAGAAGAGACCCAGAACAGCAAAAGCAACTCTGGCCAAAAAGGACAAAGCAGGGGCATCATGATCCCGGACTCAAGTTATACTACAAAGTGATAAAAACAACATATTGGCAAAGAAACAAAAAACAGATAAAAGAAAAAAAAAAAGCAGACTTTTGGATCACTGGAACAGAAGAGATGTAGAAACAATTCCAGGCACATTCAGCTACTTTATCTTTGACCAAGGAGCCAAATCCTTTCGCTTGAGGAAAGACAGCCTCTTTAGCAAATGGTTCTGGGAAAACTGACTATACACATGCTGAAGATTGAATTCACACTCCTATCTCTCACTATGCAGTAAGCTATAATCAAAATGATCTAAGCATTAGAATAGCAACATTTAATCTGCTGGAAGACAAAATAGATAAAACACTTCATGACATAGGGGTAGGCAAATATTTTTTGCAACAAAACCCCAAGGTGCATGAAAAATAATACCAAGAATCAACAAACAGGATCACATCAAATTAAAAAGCTTCTTCATAGCAAAGGAAACCACCAACAGCATGAAAAGACAACCTACAAAATGAGAAAAAAATTTTGTCACAGCTACTGAGATTCCATCTCATTCCAGAAAGGATGGCTATCATCAAGAAATCAACCAATTAACACAATGCTGGTGAGGTTGTGGGAAAAAGGGAACATTTCTTCATTGTTGGCAGGAATGTAGACTGATACAACCACTACAAAAATCAGTGTAGAGATTCCTCAAAAACTAAAACTAGAAATTTCATTTGATCCAGTTATTCCCCTTTTAGGTATTTTCCCCAAAAAGTTAAAGACATCATGTCACAGTGATATATGGCGTACTCACGTTTGTAATAGCTAAATCTTAGAACCAGCCTATATGTCTATCAGCAGATGAATGGATAAAAAAGTGTGGTATTATCCAGGTGTGGTGGTGCATGCCTATAATCCCAGCACTTAGGAAGCTGAAGCAGGAGGATCACTGTGAGTTCAAGGCCAGCCTAGGATACATAGTGAGTTCAACACCAGCCTGTGTTAAAAAGTGAGACCCCGTCTCACACAACAAAGGGTGGTATTTATACACAATCGAGTACTTCTCTGCCTAGGGAGGAGTCACTTTCAGGAGCAAAGCTGGTCTAAGTTCCTGGAGTTTCGCCCCTGTGGTTACCCACACTGGGCTCACCCAGCTCCTTTCCTCCCTCTCGCCTTCAGGGTCCACCAGTCCCTCCTTCTGCCCCAGACTGTCATGCAGCCACCGCCGGCACCTAGGAGTAACCTAAAAAAGCTGAGTGAAGACAGTTTGACTAAGCAGCCTGAAGAAGTTTCTGATGTCTTAGAGAAGCTTGGAGAAGGGTCTTATGGAAGTGTTTTTAAAGCAAATGTTTTAAAGAATCTGGCCAAGTTGTTGCAATTAAACAAGAACCTTTTGAGTCAGATCTTCAAGACTATTACGGAGTACTGTGGAGCTGGCTCTGTCTCAGACGTAATTAGATTACAGAAGATGAAATTGCAACCATTCTAAAATCTACACTGAAAGCATGAGAATACGGCACTTGAGAAAAATACATAAGAGATATAAAAGCTGGAAATATTCTTTTCAATACAGGACATGCAAAACTGGCAGATTTTGGAGTGGCTGGTCAGTTAACAGATACAATGGCAAAAACGCAACACTGTGATAGGAACTCCATTTTGGATGGCTCCCAACCTAATTTAAGAATCAGGCTATCACTGTGTGGCGAACATCTGGTTGCTTGGCATTACTTCTATAGAAATGGCTGAAGGAAAACCTCTCTATGCTGATATACATCCATACGGTCTATTTTTATGATTCCCACAAATCCACCACCAATATTCAGGAAGCCTGAACTTTGGTCTGAAGATTTCACTGATTTTGTTAAAAAGTGCTTAGTGAAGAATCCTGAACAGAGAGCTACAACACAGTTTTTACAGCATCCTTTTATCAAGAATGTAAAACCTGCGTCAATATTAAGAGACCTAATTACAGAAACTATGGATATCAAAGCTAAATGACATGAAGAACAGCAGTGAGAATTAGAAGAGCAAGAAGAAAACTCTTATGAAGATGAGCTGGATTCTCACACCATGAAGTGTGAGCTTGACGTGGGCCACAAGCACAATGAGTGAAGGGCCCCAGACCATAACTGAACATAATAACACGATGTCACAATCTGACCTGGGGACCACGGTTATAAACAGTGAGGATGGCGGGGAAGAAGACAGAACTATGAAATGAAATGCAACATTACCACAAGTACAAAGAGCACCTTTCATGGACAACTTTGATAAGCAGGACTTCAAGAATAAGAGTTAAGAAAACTGTGAGCAGGATGTGCAGATTATTTCCCTATGACCAAATATGTTTCTCCTGAAAACTGGAAAGTTCTTCAACATGGAGTCTTGAGCTTTTAAAAAAAATCTAAGTTTAGAAGAACTACAGATGTGGTTAAGAGCACTGGTCCCCATGATGGAATGTGAAATAGAACTCTGTCAAAGATACACTGCAAAAAGACAGCCCATTCTGGATGCAATGGATGCGGAGAAGAGAAGGCAGCAAAACTTTTGAGTGTGATTTCTTCCTTAATACCTACTCTGGAGACCGAGAAACCACTAAGAATTGAAGGAATATTCTGCTTTTATTTTAATCCCTAAGATTTATACTCTCCAACTAGGCATAGGTCAAAAACTAATGACGGTACACACCTAAGTAAATTCCCAAAAGGCAGAATTTACAATTGTATCCACTATATTTTCATTTTTAGATGAGAATAGAAATGTATCTCTTTTTCTGTCCGCTGAAAAGCATTCTAAAATGAAGGCTACATTTAGAGACCTCAAACATCCAAAGCTATTGTTTAACTGTATAGCACTGAGGGGCTTTATGTCACAATACTCTTTATTCCTCTCTGGAAGCCCATTTATTTTAATCCCTTAGGTAGACTTACTTATTTATGCTAATTCATTTGTTTTGTTTTTTAAAGACAAAGTCAAATACCTTTGGTGAAGATAGGAACATATTAACAGATAATAATGTACAACCAAATTATACCTCAAGGAGGAGCTATGGGATACGTTCCTTGATGTCCAGGATAGTTTTCCAGTAGAAGAAAAGCAATAATACCAGTAGCACTCATATATGCTACACATTTTTTTATATTGAAGTAATAATTCCATTTTTACCATTTGAAATTTTGATTTTTGGTATTTGCTACAAATAGAACTACATATACTTAGGTCAAAGCTATAACGTTTAAAACCAAGGAAACCAATGGAACCCTTGCACAAAAAGGTGTGATAAATATTTAAAAGAAATGAAACCTTAATACAGATGTAATGTGTTAATGCTGTTTCATGCTTCATGTGTTAGCTAAACTGAATCAAACTTGCAATGAGCTCAGCAAATTTATTTCTGTGAAATAAATGTCCTCTATTGTTTTTTTTGTTTGTTTGTTTGTTTGTTTTTTTTTTGGTTTTTCTCCGGTACCGGGAACCCAACACACGACCTTGCGCTTGCCAGGCAGGCGCTTTTGCCGCTGAGCTAAATCCCCAGCCCCAATGTCCTCTATTGTTACAGGACTTTGTATTGATATCATTTATTTTCTCAGGATTGGTAAGTATCATGTGCCTGAGGATTAAAAAATGACAAAAACATTTATACTGAACTGTGCAAACCTTGGGGACTAGAAAAAAAAAAGTCATTTTAAAAATTGCATTTCTAAGCTGAATGAGTATTTGTATGATTAAACTGGGACCAGTTGTTTCCTAAGCTACACATGGCCATCCTGACAGTGTTTGTTTTTTTATGCATATAATTACTATGTGGAAGTCATAAAGATGAAGTTTACTTTGCCACCCCCCCCAAAAAAGATAAACTTGAGTCACCTGTAGGAAAAGGGATATATCTTGAGGCCATAATGTTAAGTGAACTAAAAATCAGACCCATAAAATATTGCATATTTTCTCTTACACGAAACACTTAATATAGAAATAAAGTACAAAGTAAAAGAAAGATAATAGGAAAAAAGAGAAATAGAAAAATATTGTTATTCACCATGGACAAGTGTACCTTGATTTAGTGTAATTGTCTGATGTGTCTTTTACGTTTTTTGGCTTATAGGTCTGATTGTTAATCTATATATATGGTAATTAACTTTAAAATGACTTATAAGGTAAACACATGAATCTGATGCTAGCAAAATAAGTGCTGGAAGGGCTGGGGATATAGTTCAACAGCACAACTATATTCCCACAGCAGCACAACGACTTGCCTGACAAGTACAAGGTCCTGAGTTCGATTTCCAATACAAAAAATAAATAAATAAATAAGTGCTGGAGAGAAGGGGAAAAATAAAGGATTGCAATGTGTTATATACATGTAGCAATTCCCTATAATGAATATAACTTATATACTATAAGCATGTACTAATAAAAGGATTTTTGTTAATGTAACAAAGACACATTATCCGTTTTCTTAATGTGTTTTGGTTTTTGTTTGCAGTACTAAAGTCTGAAATCAGAACTTCATGCATGCTCTGTGTAATTTTTAAATTTCATATAAAGGCAAAGGACAGACTAATTATATGTGAATTACAGCAAAATAAAAAGTATCATTTTAAAAAAGCAAACAAACAAAACGGAGTAACAGTACTGACCAATAATTAACACTTAATCATACAAAGAGCCTGTATTTCCTAGGTAGATGCTAAATTATAATTCCTCAAGTTCTAAACTGTTCATTGATAATACAGTGTATATCCCAAAGAAATACTGTTTTATACAGTATTCATTCATACATTTCATAAAGATCTCACTCAGCCCCTCCTAGATCCTTGGGCTGGGTACTTCTCCACTGCTCAGCTGTTTAAGACAAGAGCAGTTACCTGGTAACGCGGTGATAAAATCTCGCTGCAACATGGGCTTCAGGTAAGAGTTAATATGTCCATGCTGGTAATGACACATTCGTGAAATAAGATGCTCCACAAATTCCACTTGATCTGATTCAGACCACTGGTCAAAATATTTAATACACAAGTCCTTTTCTTTTTGATAGTTTCCTTCTGATGGCCTCTTTCTGGAGACAATCACAGATGATGTTCCATTACTTATCTATATTAAAAAAAAAAAAGTAATAATTAGTTTTACAAGAGAAAGAAATCTAATTCTTATTTCATCAGAAACATTTTTCACCTTATGTATTTAATCTTAAAATGACAGTTTTACCCTAAAGCCAAACTCAGTTCTTTACTAATTTATTCTTAAATAACTACACATATCTTCATAGTCTATTTCCTCAAATAAGTCACTACTGTAAATGCTGGAGCTACAGCTATTTCTAAAGCCAAATGGTATCTTAAATCATCATTCTCCAATGCTTAAATCAAAGTCATATTGTTATTAATTTTAGAGATAATTATCTTATGGGAACTGCTTAACTTGGTAAAATGGCAACTAATTGACTATTAAAAGTACGGTTTACTTCTTCAAAGTTAAAAGTTAATGTTATGTATAGTAGTCCCCTTAAGGATATAGTCCAAGTCCTCTAATGGATGCCTGAAACTATGGCTAGTACCAAATTCTACATAAATTATGCTTTTTCTGTATAATTGCAATAATGATAAAAGTTTAATTTACAAATCTGGCATGGTAAGAGGTTAATAACAATAACTAGTAATAATATAAGACATTTAAAACAATATAGTATAAGAAACATTATGGTCTGTACCCCTCTCTCTGAAATTTTCCATGTAACCTTTTCTAATCCCAGGTAACTCAAACTGTGGCACTACTGTACATCTATACTAGTGGTTCTCAAGAGCTTACAGCAGAATAACAGAAGGCCAGTTAATACAGATTGCTGGGTCCCACCCCAGAGGTTCTGGTTCTGAGTGTCTGCTGTAGAGCCTGAGAATCTGCAACTCTAACAAGCTCCAGATGATATGACAACACTGGTCAAGACTACACATCAGGGACTGCACTTCGAAAACTCTGAGTCTATCTAACAAAGAAGATATGTAGCTCTATGTTTAAACCTAAAGTAATTTGATCTAAAAGAAACTCCATTTTACCTGGCAGTTTTGATCCCCTCCATAATTTTTCAGGGTTATTAAATAAACTGCTGGCAAAACAATTTCACCTTTCTCTCCTTTCTTTCAATCACCTGCTCAGAGAGTGACCAAAGTCAATCATGCATAACTAAAAATCTGTTGGATAACCCACAGGTTCCTATAAAATAATGTGTTCTTCATCAAATCTACTTACATGCCCTTGCATAATAGCAGTATTAAAAAAAAAAAAAAACTACAGGACTAAGGAGTAGCTCATTTGTGCCTAGCACTGTGTGAGGCCCTAGGTTCAATTCCTAGCAGGAGAGAAGAAAGGAGGGGAAGGAAGGGGACAGGGGAGGAGAGAAAAAGGAAGACAAAAAGAAAAAAGAAAAGAAATAAAAAAATAAAAAACAAAAAAGAAAAGAAAACTACAAGCTGGGCATGGTGGCATATGCCTATAATCCTAGCACTTGGAAGGCTGAGGCAGAAGGACTGCTGCAAGTTCAAGGCCAGCCTGGGCTACATAATGAGACCCTGCCTCAAAACAGAAAATGAAAAAAAAAGAGGAAGAAAAAGAAAAAAAAGGAAGGAAGGGAGGGAGGAAAGGAAGGAGGGAAGGGAAGAAGGAAGGAGGGAAGGGAGGGAGAATAAACTACATACACTGCACCTGGACAACAGGATGGAAAAATAATCTGAATCCCTAGTCTCAAACCACAACTACAGTACTGCTGATGCTATGAAGCGCAGTAACTTCCTTGTTTTAAAACAAAATAATCTCAGTACTATACTTTTGCCAAACATTTGCCATCACTTCTCTGACAGCCTTGTGTATAATACCATAAGAAATAACATATAGTATAAGAGAATTTTAAGAAGTAAAGAGCTGGATGACAAATGTCTAATAGTTCCATTAAGAGTTTAGCAGCCATAGAACCAAGACCTTTTGTTACCAGTATGTTCCCTAACTTAAAGTAGATGGAATCCATCCCAAAAAGAAGATATCCTTTGTAAATACCTAAAGAAGTCTTTGACCTCCCTTGATGAAACCTTACAAGTTTCATATCATAAGTATTTAAGTTCATGTTTAGAGGTAAGGTCAGAAGGCATTTGTTTCCCAACCAATTGTTCAAGAATGTTTCCCCCTGTTAACTTGGGTTAAGGCAGAACTCACTAGATACGGTACCACCAGGGGGCAGTATAAAACAGGCATATATACATGTATATAGTTTACTTGCCTAACAGACCCAAAAACTAGAGTTCAAAACAGTCAGAGAAAATGAAATTCTTTGTTATGATGAGGTATAATAAAGAGGTATAAAAGAGGCTACTGCACTGTTTTTAAACATAATGATATCTATCACAGTGTTATAACTGAGAAAACTTAGAATAATTATAGGCAGTTGGTTGAAGCAAATTGTAACATATCTACACAGAAAAGCTATAATGTAGCCATTAAAATTTGGTTTATAAAGTAAGACTGTAATAAAACATGCTTTAAAAATAATATTAAGGAACAAAAGGCAACGGTCAGAATTGTATATAGCACTATGATCATAATAATTTGTGAAGAGAGCAAATCAAGACAAAGTAAAGGATAAACCCCACATGGTGGCACACACCTATCATCACGCCACTTGGGAGGCTTAAGGAGGAGGATCATGAGTTCAAGGCCAGCCTGGACTACACAGTGAGTTCAAGACCAGCCTGGGCTACGTAGTGAGACCCTGTCTTTAAAAAAAAGAAAAAAAAAAGTAAAAGATATACATCAAAATGCCAACAGTGCCTAATCTTGAGAAAGAAAATGTTTCCTTTATTCCCAATTTTTTTGGACAGTTTGCTAGAATAACTGTTTCCATAATAGGTTAAATATAATGAGGGGTTGGGGGTATAGCTCAGCTGCACAGCGCCTGTCTGGCAAGCACAAGGTCCTGAGTTCAATTCCCACTGACTGCCTAAATAAATAAAATGGTAGTAATAACTACAGTAGCATTTATGTATTGCTTTATAATTTACAAAGTGCTTTCATACCATTATCTCATTCAATCAGCAAAAAGGTTATTTCATTTACAGAAGGGTTCCTAACCATCTAGCCTCCCTAGGGAATATTGTACCATTTAATAGCTGACTGGAAGGCAGAAGAAAGAAAAACTGAAAGCTAAAGTGTTAAGAACCACTGTGAATCAAAAAATCAATATTAAATGAAGAGAATTCTATTGCAAAATAATAAACACAAAGAAGAGTACAGAATTCAGTTTACATACAATGTTCAATAAAGAAAATATTCTATTTCCAACCAGCTACTCAGTCCAGCAAAATCTTCCTAGCGCTGTTTCGTTTTGTTTAATTTTATCTTAAGTTTGTTGGGTGCATCTATTCTTGCTAACTAATCTTCCTTTTTATTTTCAAATCAAATGAAATTTATTATTTTTCATATTTTTATATTATTCTTTGGATATTTCAGTATATTTTGCCTTTAATCATGTTCTCACGAAGGGGGAAATGATGTACACCATAATGGTTGTGAAAACACCACCATGAAACTTTATATGCTTCACCCACCCTACCCCACCCCACCCCCCTTCAAAAAAACCCTGGGAGATTGGAGGGAAATTGGCAAACTAAAACAGAGCCAAGAGAGGAGGCTGAGATTAACAGGAAACGGCAAACCAATAGAGAATGGGAGAAAATGCTGGGGGTAGGGAACAAATGGAGGAAAAAAATCATTAATGCATACTACAACGGCGTGTGGCGTGGTGCCACTTTGGTGATCAAAGATGACACCATTCTCCATCTTTGAACACAGAGAAAGAGAAAATTTTAGGCTACAGCCACCTCAGAATCTTTGTGAAAACTCAAAAATTCTTTATTTGTAATACCAATTCCCTAAAGAAAAGATAAAAAACTAGGGCAGTTTCCAAAACTAGCAAAACTGAACAAAAGAAAACTTTTAAAAGCTTGGCTCTTGATTTCATCAAGGGCATTAAGTGAGGGAACATCTTATCTACAGTAAATTAATTGCTACCTTATTATTCCTACCTGCCAAAGAGTATTTTTCTTTGGGGACTCATCTTCATTTTGATCTTCCATAACTGAAGTGTTCTAAGGGGGGAAAAACAGGTTATTTGAATTATGCCAACTTTTGCAAATCCTAAATTACTACAAGACTTAATTTTGAAAATCCAAACTAGAGTGTATCAACACAACCCCAAGAACTCTTTGGCTTGTGGCTAACATGCCATTTGGGTCAAGAGAACTACGCTCATCTTTCACATATCAATGGTTAGTGGCTGGACAAAAGTAAGCATAAAGTCTTCATTTATGAAGGCTGGCCAGGCTTAGAAAACAAGCTAAGTTACAGGAGTAGGGCTGCAGCTTGACCTCAGTCATCACTGTTATTTACTTGTGGTAAGAAACCCCAGACATCCACAGAGTTCCCAATGACTGCATGAAACATTTTCTAGAATGTCTGCTATTCAGTAATTCAACCCAACAATCAGTAATTATAAGTGACAAAGCCTTGTAAGTGCCCCTGCCTTTCTCCTTCTCCTGCCTTGATGGCCTTGTTTTTTGAGAATGGCTTTGCAATCTCCCCTTACAAGCATGGTGGGTGCCCCAGTCTTTTCCCTGGGGACAAGGATGCTGTTAGCCACTAACAACCAGGCTTGCTTTGGGAATGCATTATCTTTTGATTTCTGTGTTTACTGCACAAAGAGGCACTGTGTAATTATTCTTTATGGTGACCTAGTCGCTCAATAGATGCCCATTAGCTGGAGATTATACATGATTGGATTTTCCCTTTTGAAGCTCCTACCTAATGGCTAAATGGAAACTTAATGAGAAGGGGAAGTGGGAGAGTTGTGCTTCAGATGGACTAACAGCTCATTTATGGATAACAGTCTCTCTAAAATTCCTTCCCAAATCTAAAATTCTAAGACAGCGGCACAAAATTTAAACTACATTTGTTCCATAGCATTATTCAAAAAGGATACTGTTAGATCTATTCAAGTTATCAAAGCTTATAAGATCCTGTTTATTGCTGTCAGAGAATAAGCCTCTTTCAAA